ACGCAGCTGTTGATACAGATGTGTTTTTGATGCGTACAAGATTGTGAAACCGAAAAGTAAGCATGGCTGAGAATTACCTTTACCCTTCCAAAATATTCATTCAGAATCTGTGGCTGCTTAACCAACGAAATGGCCTGCGTATATCTGTACGAACCGTTTAAAAGCTCGGTAGACCTGAAACATTAGGACTAATGCCAATACCTTTTGCACCAAACAGATCATAAATAGTTCATTAGGACAAATATTTCTTGCAGACATCCTCAACTACTGGAAGAATACCAAACTAATGGAGATCTTACGAGAACAATCGCATAAATAAGTCCAGCGTCTAAGTTCCGAAGGTTCACACTAAACAATTCAATTTCTATTACAATCTAGAGTAATGAAATAGCCTACAATAAGAATCACTAAGAATAAAGACCTCGTGCATTTTTATGCAGTTATCTCTGCTCTAACAAGCAGCATAAGTGTTCAGATTGTTGTGCAAATATTGTCCTATTTAGAGCAGGGTGGTGAAACTTTGTTCGAACCAAAGAACGAACTGCAGCGGACCTACAAATGAAGTTGGTATCGCAAAGACACATGCACTTTAGTGTTCGAAGTACAATTCCGGCATATAAACCGAACAGCCACTTGGACAAGCAACTATGCTTGCACATTGCATACGTTTCCCGTAACGCCCCGATTCTCTGGAAGCGAGGATCTACAAAAAAAGTAGAACGCAGTGCGGGTAGGCATGACGAAAGTCATTCACTCTTTCTTCTTGCTGACAACAATGTTATCATCGGTCTTCCTAGCACGACGCCGTTTGGACACATGAGACAATTACGGCAAAGCTTACCATCATTTCTTGCGCGTCAAACCAAAAATGGTGACAAATCGACAGTCGTACTTCGAATTTTAGAGACCATTAGCTCCCCTCACCAAAAACTATTTGGACACGCCTGAGCAACTGACGGTTCAGGAAGGGGTGTTGACAATCGAGACTGCTTGCTTTGTTCTACGTGCTACGAGACGCGCCAAAACTGGGCGTCTGGTATCCGTCTTCGCGTACCTTTTCCACATTCGGCGGTGCCATCATGCCATCGCTTCCGTTCCGCCAAGGTAGTGTAGTGACTGAGGTACTCGGTTGCTTACACGCAGATCGCGGGATATATTCCCGGCAGTGGCGGCTGCATTTTCGATGGAGGCGAAAAAGCTGTACACTTGTGTGTTCAGATTTCGGTACACACTAAAGAACCCGAGGTGGTAAAATTTCCGGAGTTCTCTGCTACGGCGTCTCTCATTATCATATGGTAGTTTTGGAACGTTAAACCCCACACTTCAAAAAGGTGTACACCCTCAAGGGTGCATTTTCGGCCTATCGGCAACACCCATTTGTTCTTTTTTATAAATACCCTAAAACGTAGAGTGTGAGGAGGCGTTACACCGTACTTGAAGGAGTGTTTATGAAAACCTCTAAACAATAATTTTTAGGTCGAGCTACACCAATGCGAGTGAAGTGTAACGTATAAAACACCCTGGAAACGATGGCAGTTACATGTATAAGCATATTTGATCAAATGAAGCGATATTAACGAAAAAGTAAATGGAGAGGCACACAGGAGGAAATGATTCGTCCTGTGTGTCCCCTTTTCTGTTGTCCCCTTCGTGGCACTCCATTCCATCAAATATGTTACATTAACTGGTCCAAGTCTCAAATGTTCTCTACTCAACAGTGGAGAAACACAGGACGAACCATTTCTTTCTGCGTGTCTCTCCTTTTGTTGTTCTGTTCATTGCGGTTCATTTGATCAAGTAAGCTTATGCATGTAACTGCCATCGTTTCAAGGTTATTTTCATGTGTTGCACCCCCCTCGCACGGGTGTAGCTTGACCTAACATTCATAGTTTAAGGGTGTTCATAAACACCTCTGAAAGTAGGGTGTAATGTCTTTTTACACCCTGCGTTTATCGGGTGTTTTTAAACATTCTAAAAGGATGTTTCTCATGAAACAAAAATACACCCTCAAGGGTGTGAAATTTTTCGCGGTGCCCATTATAATCAATGTCTTCGTTTTCCACAAGCCGTGGCCACCCTGGTGCCACAGACCATATCGATGAGTCAACACTGCACCGGACTACACACTTCGTTTGCCCCGCCGCGGTGGTCTAGTGGTTAAGGCACTCAGCTGCTGATCCGCAGGTCGCGGGATCGAATCCCGGCTGCGGCGGCTGCATTTCCGATGGAGGCGGAAATGTTGTAGGCCCGTGTGCTCAGATTCGGGTGCACGTTAAAGAACCCCAGGTGGTCGAAATTTCCGAAGCCCTCCACTATGGCGTCTCTCATATTCATATGGTGGTTTTGGGACGTTAAACCCCACATATCCATCTACACACTTCGTTTGCAGGTGGGACGCCATGTCATTGTACCGTGTTGTTTCGTGTGCAGTTCTCGCACTGTGTATTCTGTAGTGCTTCTCCCTCACCGTGCAACGTACTGGGCATGCCTCTTCTCTCATTCTTGGGTTGGGAAAGAGGCGGTGTTGGACGTTTTCATTTTAGTGGCGGAGATGACGGCAGTTACATTGAACTATTCTTTATTCAAACGTATTCCCCTTCAGGGAGCCTAAGGAAGACCGGCACTTGATACCTACCATCAATCATGTAACATTAATTACCTTCGGTTTGCAAATACTGTAAATAAAAGTTCCTGTTATTACCTCTGGCTATTCTGCTCGATTTATCACTGAGAAATTTGGCTGGTCTTCGTTCTATAGGCTGACCCCTGGCCACATCAGCAACTATAACAAATGGCTGTGAGATTCAAGGGTACTTGAAAGTTTCGCTAATAGATGAGACAGCCTTACAAGAACTGAATGCGTCAATTGGGCACGTAGTGGTCTATTATTCAAGTTAGAACTTGAAAGCATGCAAACTTATCAAACATGTATATGTCTGACAAAGGCTAACGTTGCTGAGTACATAAAAATGCAAACGTCGCCTGTCGAAATTCACTAGCCTGGTTTAAGCCTACCTTTTACCCCATGTTCCAACCTCTGAACGGGCTGATTGGGGCCAAAATGACAACATTCCAGTTACTGTGATGCTTCTCAAGCACTAGATTAGCAGATACTGTGAAACTGTTTACAACACGCTGTCTTTCGCGTATGCGTGCGCCTGTTCTCTAGGAAAACCACCAGACCTACGCGGAAAAGGCAGCATAGCCACAGTGAGAGCTAGAAGAGCCCCTTTTATACATCGGGCTGCTAACTATCTTAGGGCGGCTATTAAAAGCCCAGTTACTAGGTACCCACTATGCTGATAACTCAATCGTTGGCTGAGTTTGATGATGAGGTATGGCTGAAACGTTTTGCGATGTATTGGAAGCACTCAAATACTCACTCGTTACGCAATTGATATTGCGTGATGCCTGGTTGTTATTTTACCCTGCTACCACACTATATACCTTGCGCATGTAAACAGGGTTCCTTTACGACATTACACAAGTATATAGAGTTTGTGCAAACAATTTCTGAGTACCGGCACGGCATTGTGGTAGAATACTGGGTCGCCACAAAGAGGACCCAGGCTCGAGCTCTATCTATTCTGAGTAGTTTTATTTATTTAGACTTTTTGTTGCGTGCTATAGCTGTTATGGCGGCGGCAGCAGCGGCGGACAATTATCGCACCTTTGCTCTTATGACATCACAATTTTTTCTCAACACAGATGTTCTGGTTGTATATAACGTTTCCTATTTCATGTGTCTATGGGTGTTACGACCAGTTTCATCTGCTTGTATGAGAATTTGCGACATTTTTTTTTGGAAAAATTCTGTGAATGAATAATTCATTGACAGTCATCGAGACACTCTCTCGTCGCAACCTATAGGGGCCTTTCAAAATTTTCCACTGTGTGAAAGAAAATATACTACCATGACGATATACGTTATTGTGCGAACCTGCAGTCTTTATCGAGACTTTGCAAACCAGCTTAGATTCTTGTATGTGCGTCTTTCGCTTCCGTTGGAAGTATAATGCTGATGAAATGGACAAACATAGATGAAGCAATAAATATATTACTTAAACTTACTCAACAATTCCTCGAAAATGTGGCTGACCCCTTTGCATAATTATGAATATAACACGAAAGGGAACACCTCTTCACTGAGGTGGTGGAGCGTTTTTCGGAGATGTTTGTTTCGACACACGCGTGAATGAATGAATGCTACAGCAACAAATTCTATATCACGCGAAAAAAAGCCAGCAGCTCCAAATATACGACCGGCGCACAGCTCAATCAGAAAGCACTCGCTACCTGAAGATCCATAAGATGAGCGCGAAATTACAGCTCCCACAGCTCAATTATTAAAGCGCGCTGCTCGAACACAAAAAAAGACAAATCAAAGAAACGCACGAATATTTAGATTAGACATAGTCTTTTAGAGATAGTCTTTTACAACTTGAAGTGCACTATTAGCTATTTCGAAGTGCTGCTCTTTTCCGAGGTTGTTGTACAGTAAGTAGATACACGAGCCCTTGTTACTGCCCATGACTGATCAGTGCACAAGGCTCGCGAAACTTGCTCTGGTGCTCATCACGTGTCACGTAGATTACCACGCGGCTTCTCTTCCCACAGTTACTCTCTCGTATAAGCGCTCGGTGAAAGGAACTACTATACACTTTGAACACACTGCCAGAATATGTTCATACTTACTATTGAATCAACTTTCTCTATAGAATGCACAATTGATTCAACGGCACACCAGATTTTCCAACAGTGTCTCCTTATCCAGAAGTATGCACTCTCATCTGGAACCATTCAGTTTCTAAATATAATCAATCACTTGGGAAAGGCCTGTACTTGTAGAATAGGGCCTCATAATATTACGACCATGATTGCTTCTTGCAACTATTCATTTATCTGTTGTTGTCTTTACTTCACGTTTATTATTAGTACACCATTTTGAAACTGCGCTTTATGCACTGCTTTAAAGAATACTTTGCTATTTCCTCATGCAGAGAAATATGATGACGCAACAGAAGTCTTGTACTACCAAAGCCAAGACAACATGTGCGCTGTTTTTTCGGTACTGACCATCCGCGGACGTAAGTGTAAAGTCAGACCACTTATTTTCTTTCTCAAATTTTAAGCGATGTGTTTCTTTGTGAATCAAAACTTCTGTGGCGTTTTTATATATCTATCTATCTATCTATCTATCTACCTATCCATCTATCGGTCTATCTATCTATTTATCTGTGATGCATGTGCTGTGTGTACAGCGTCTTTTAGGGGCCCTAAACCACGGCCGTAAATTACCTATATGTGAAAAGTTTTTTTGTTGTTGAAGTTTTCTGCCTTAGCAGTGATTTTAAAGCATTGTAGAAGAGTTGGTCTTCAATGTAGGGCACTTGGCAGGTCAGGCTCCCTAAATGAGCCAGCGGCTAAGCCGCTCTTTTCTTCCTGGCTGCGGTACTGGTTACTTCCAAAGCATAGGCGGATCAGCCGGGGAGTCGGGGGGAGTGCAACCCCCCTCCCCCACTAAAAAAAGTTGGGGAGGGGGGGCTGAGCCACCCCACTTTTGTCAGTGGTCACTGTAGCATGCACGCTGCGGTAAACAACAGCTAAGGCAAGTTTTTCTTGCACCACTGATTTCACTGATTAATAATGTTACAAGAAAAGAAAATATTTCGAAACAAAGGTATACAACGTAGAGATAATTTTCCAAAATCTCAGCAGAGACTATTTTCTTTGAAGGCTCTTTGCGACGCTTTCCGCCCTGTGCTGTAGCACTGCAAAGCAGGATAGCGCTGAACAGGGGCTCTACATATTAGATCACTTGTTTATGTTTTATTCCCCTGTGACAGGCCGATGCAGTTAGAGATAGGACCGAACAAACTTTGTATAGACCAGTCAAAGCATTTGCTGCTTCAGGAAAATCATTTTCTTTCATCGAAAAGTATTACCATCACCGCTGCTTTGTCGAAATGGCTGTGAGCACGGGATTTGGCTAATTTTTCTAAATACTTCAGCTTTGCCGTATACTATAGAGAAGCGCCAAAAAAGGCTTTCGCTTCAATTATCGATAAATTTGATCAGCCTTGCTTATTGAACTTCGAGCAATAGAGGCAGCTTGCAAATCGGTGATAAATAAAGCAGTGGGCTCAAGCTCAGTGGAAAGCTAAAATAAGCTGATAGATATGCTCAAACTACCTTTCGTTTCTCAAGGAGTGGTTCTGATTTAAAAACTAAGATTTTTGTGAGCTGTTTTTAGTCAGTAAATATTTCATTCAATATTATAATATATACAGTTGAAGAGGCTGTCTTTAACATAATTGTATTCATGCGTAACGTTCTGAGGTAGTGCATAAAAGGCGTCGCGTGTAACATTACTACATGTATCATGCATGACAAACGCATAAGTGTTGTTTCAGTGCATGCCGCTAAAAACTGACTGTTCTATTTTAAAGACGATAGTCTTTCTTGGGGTCCTTCGACGCAAACATTTTGGTCTGTCTGTCTGTCTGTCTGTCTGTCTGTCTGTCTGTCTGTCTGTTTGTCTGTCTGTGCAAATGTCTGTTTGTCCTCCCATAACGGTACCCTAAACAGCACCAAAGTGGCCAAACGATACTCCTAACGGCCGACACCACCCAAAGTGCCCACCAATATGCTCTAAGTTCAGCGTTCATACTTGGAAATGGTGAATTAAAACAAATATTGCGCATATCTTAGGCACCATTACGACACCTCAATATTATATATGTGTATTTTTACTTGAAAAGGCATACATCGAAAATTCTAAGGACCATAGCGTTTATCACGCTGCGATGGCCATGCAACGCTTGCATGAAAAGGCGAACGTTTCCACCGCTTTGCTGGGATGACAAGGTGGTGGAACCTACCCGTCTCTTTGCGTTCTACACCTTATCAACTCAGGGACGGGCGCACAAGCCGCGCGCTTTTTTTTCCAGGATAACTGCCAGATAGCGCTTATGTCTCACGTGTGACGTGGCTTGATGCACTCGTTCACCTCCGCTGCATGCTCGACGCACTTTAACGCAGCGCCTCCAGAATACCATTCACCAATTTTTTTGCGCAGAAAATTAAATAAATGCTTTGTTCACTCTTTCCAGGCACAAAACTATCGTCTTTCGACGACTTTTCAAGTGTAACATGCAGATATGGGGCGAATAGTTTTATTTTTACGCTATTGAACAAGTGCTCTGCATAAAGTTGTCTTTGTCCTTAAATATATTGTCGCAGTACAACGGGAACAAAGCACAAGTAGGCCTTGAGGCAGCGAAAGCAGCGTGTTCTCAACAGCTGAGCCGCAAGATCTTCTTCGTTCTCGCGTCAAGCCAGAAGCCCACCACCTGGTGTCCGCTGAATCCCCCCATTATCGTTTTTATCCGCATGTAGACATGAGTCATTTGCCTCCCTCTCAAAGAGCATCGACCCGATGTGAAGTCAATAATGCAGTTTTTGTTAAAAGATAAGTCTCACGCGATCACTCGCTGACGTAAGGCTTCATGCGCACTACGTGAACGAGTTCAGGATGGTGCTGGCGACGCTTGGTAGTACACGAATTGTCAGGCACAACTTCGTAAGTGACGTCACTCAGTTTTCGCAGCACTCCGTATGGCCCAAAGTATCTTCTTAAGAGCTTTTCTGATAGTCCTCGTTTCCGTACGGGTGTCCAAATCCATACTTTGTCGCCAGTTTGATAGACAACTGCTCTGCGGTGAGCATTGTAGCGGCCTGCATCGTACTCTTGCTGCTGGCGGATCCGTAAACGTGCAAGGTGTCTAGCTTCTTCCGCGCGTTCCGTAAACGTGTTGGCGTCTGGGTCGATGTCATCACTTGCGTGTGGTAGCATCGCATGTAACATAGTTCGTACTTCTCGTCCATGAACAAGGCTGAACGGGGTCATGCGGATCGTTTCTTGCTTGGCCGTGTTGTACGCAAACGTTATGTATGGCAAGATTTCATCCCAATTTTTGTGTTCAATGCCTACGTACACCGAAAGCATGTCTTCAATGGTTTTGTTCAGACGCTCCGTCAGCCTGTTTGTATGTGGGTGGTAGGCAGTGGTCTTACGATGCGTTGTTCCACTCAGCACCAGGACGTGATCCAAAAGAGCTGCCGTAAATGCGGTTCCTCTGTCTGTGCTCACGACGGTTGGTGCACCATGCCTCAGTACAATATTTTCGGTGAAAAATCTTGCCACCTCCGCTGCTGTACCTCTCTGGATAGCCTTTGTCTCGGCATAACGGGTCAGATAATTCGTCGCGACTATAACCTAGTGGTTCCCTGCAGTAGAAGCAGGTAGTGGGCCCAAAATGTCCATGCCTATCTGGTAGAATGTTGCTGTTGGGACCTGCACGGGTTGCAGGAGGCCAGCTGGTTTAGTCGGTGGTAACTTGCGGCGCTGTCAGTCGAGACAGGTACGAGCGTGGTGCTTCACGGCTGTGGTTAGTCTCGGCCAGTAATACCTTTGCTGTACTCTGGCCAACGCTCTCATGTAACGCAAATGGCCAGAGGTCACCTCGTTGTGGCATGCTTTGAGTACTTCGGTACGAAGGGCTGCTGGTATGACGAGCAGATAGGCGGATCTTATCGACGAAAAGTTTCTTTTGTAGAGTACTCCGCCCCGCAAACAAAACGATGACAACACTCTTGCGAAAACTCTTGGCGCCTTCTGAGATCTGCCTTCCAAGTAGTTAATTAAGCCAAGCAACTCAGTGTCGTCACGTTGTTGCTGCGCAATGGCGGTCGTGTCGAGGACACTGAGAAATGCCGTTTCCTCCTCCTCAGGTAGGGTTGCTGACTCAATGGGTGAACGGGACAGACAGTCAGCGTCCATATGTCGCTTGCCTGACTTGTGCACGACCATCATGTCAAACTCTTGTAGTTTTAGGCTCCAACGCGCAAATCGGCTGGTGGGATCTTTTAGATTAGTTAACCAGCAAAGGGAGTGATGGTCACTAATGCCTTTGAAGTGCCGGCCATACAAGTACGGGCAAAACTTCATTACTGCCCATACTACGGCAAGGCATTTTTTCTGTATTGTTGAATAGTTAGCCTCTGCGCGTGCTAGCGTACGGCTTGCGTAGGCGATCACTCTTTCTGTGTCCTCTTGCCATTGCACAAGCACAGCCCCGAGACCTACATTGCTAGCGTCTGTGTGAAGCATCGTCGGGACTTCTTCGTCGAAGTGGGCAAGCACAGGGGGCGTTTGAAGACGTTGACGCAAGTCAATAAATGCAGCCTCCTGTTCTTTCCACTCAAAGGCAACATCGTCTGTCGTGAGACGAGTTAGTGGCGACGCGATGCGGGTGAAGTCTACGATAAGCCGGCGATAATAGGCACAAAGACCTAGGAAGCGTCTGACAGCCTTCTTATTGGAGGGTACTGGGAACTGTGCGACGGCGGCAATTTTACCAGGATCGGGCCGGACGTCTGCATTGCTGACGACGTGACCGAGAAACTGAAGTTCGTGAAAAGAGAAATGGCACTTTTCTGGTTTCAATGTTAGGCCCGCGAACCGTATGGCACGTAAAACAACTTTCAGCCTTTTGAGATGCTCGTCAAAAGTGGTCAAAAACACTATAACGTCGGTCTCTTGGGTCTACCTCGACCTGCCAGTATCCACTCCTCAAGTCAATGGAAGAAAAGTAGCGAGCGTGCCGAAGTCTGTCAAAGGAGTCATCAATACGTGGGAGCGGTTACACATCTCTTTTGGTCACCTGATTCAGCTTCCTGTAGTCCACGCAAAAACGCAGGGTGCCATCCTTTTTCTTTACTAGCACTACAGGCGATGCCCAGGGGCTCTGTGATGGCTGAATGGCGTCATCTGCAAGCATTTTCGCGACTTGTTTTTGTATGGCTTCGCGCTCCTTTGAAGCTACACGATAAGGGTTCTGGTGGATAGGTCTCACCGTGTCCTCGGTGATTATTCGGTGCTTTGTCAAAGGTGTTCGAACAACTCGTGATGTCGTTGAAAAGCAGTCGCGGAATTCGGCTAGCAGCTGAAGAAGTCTCTGTCCCTCGTCCTTTGACAGAGTGGTGCCAACATTGAGAACGGGTTCTGGTTCTTGATTAGGCGCTT